TATTGTCGTCATCATCATCAATATAATTTTATTATCATCATCAATTGTTTAAATATTATTATTATTATTATTATTAGTAGTAGTAGTAGTAGTAGTAGTAGTAGTAGTAGTAGTAGTAGTAGTAGTAGTAGTAGTAGTAGTACATTTGAGCTATTTTATTGGTGGAGCACATTTTACTAAAAAAAATATTTTCAGACAAAGTTAATGTTGAATTCAACATGTCACTTGATGCTTCTTTTTAATTATTTGTGAAATTAACAAGCAGTTTCTGAGAGTAAAATGTAAGCAATTTTCCAAATAACACTGTCCCCTTTTCCCCTCCAGTCTGAGCATTACTGTAAATGTGTTTTTCCACAGCGAGGTCTGACAGGAAATGCTGTGCTGTGTGTTGTGCGTGTAGCGTGTTGTGTGTGTGTAGCGTGTCACAGGTGTGGATCTTAGCGTGTTCTGCTCTGGGTTTTGTGTGAATGATGAATGTGTGAAAACACGCGGCCGAGCTGCCAGACTCACAGGAGCGTTTAATGAAGGGATTGTTGTAAGTGTTTGAGCACAATGGAACCCAATTAAGACAGTCCAACAAAGCTGAACCCACACCGGAGGTCACGACCCCGACCCATAAACCCTCGCTGACCCCCACACCTGCCTGATTACATTAGACTCCAGCAGACTCGAAGCAGAATCTCACACACTGCTCAGATCTACTCTACTGTACTCTTCAATTCAATTCATCTTCATTTCTCTAGCGCGTTCACAGTGTAGATTGTGTCGCAGCATAAACTCAGAGCGCTCAAATTAACTCTACTCTACCGAACAACTTCCAAAAACTCGGAGCGCTCAGATAAACTCTACTCTACTGACAAACTTCCATAAACTCCCACACTGCTCAGATTAACTCTACTCTACTCTTCAGACTAGCTTCCAGAAACTCCCAGTGTTCACATTAATTCTACTCTACAGACACTGGCTTCCAGAAACTCAGAGCACTCAGATTAACTCTACTCTACTCTACTCTACTCTACTCTACTGACCAGCATCCAGAAACTCCCACACTGCTCAGATTAACTCTACTCTACAGATCAGCTTCCAAAAACTCCCAGACTGCTCAGACTGACTAGACTTTACTCCACTTGACTCTACTCACCATCATCCAGAAACTCTCACACTGCACAGATTAACTCTACTCCACTCTACTGACCAGCTTCTAGAAACTCGGAGCTATCAGATTAACTCTGCTCTGCTCTGCTCTGCTCTGCTCTGCTCTGCTCTGCTCTGCTCTGCTCTGCTCTGCTCTGCTCTGCTCTGCTCTGCTCTGCTCTGCTCTGCTCTGCTCTGCTCTGCTCTGCTCTGCTCTGCTCTACTCTGCTCTACTCTACTCTACTCTACTCTACTCTACTCTACTCTACTCTACTCTACTCTAGCCTGCTTACATACCAAATTAAAAACTTAAAGTATGTTGATCATACATTTGGCGATAATCAAAATAATGATCAAAATAATGGCTTAAAAACGAAAAAAATCTATTTTACTTAACACAATTGTCTTATCTTGTAAAGCACACTTTAAGAAATAAAAGATGTTAAAGGTCCAAACTAAATTATTTAAAATTTTAATTAGAAACCAATTTAAACAGGCGTACAGGAAAGTGGCGTAAAGTATTTCATTCTCATGCTCAACGAGAAATTTTTATAATGAGCAAGACAATGGAGTGAAGATCAGTCGAGATAAGCTGGTGACTGACTGAAGATAAAGTGTGTGTGCTCTGTGTGTGCTGAAGGAGGGCTTGTGTGATTATGGACGTGTCAAGAGTTCATGACCAGCGCTCATATTCACACTGTACAGACAAAGCCATTATACAGAGCTGCGCTAACGAGCCTCTGAACAGCAGACTGACGCCACCTGCCAATTAAAATCCCAAACCTAGTTGAACACACACACACACACACACACACACAGCACAAACCAAGAATAACATGCGCCGAGAGCCAGCAGACAAAGAGCAGACTGGAAAACAGCACAAAAAAAACTGATCCTCTCAACAACATTTGGAAGAACATTACTGGGAAGCACCCATACACACTCATTTAAACACACTCCTTTAAACTTCAGTGATTCATGAGTCAAGAATAAACTATTGGTTGTCATGATTCAAGAAAGAACTTCATTGGTTCTCATGAGTCAAGAATGAGCTTTATTAGTTCTCATGAGAACAGAATGACCTTCATTGGTTCTCATGAGTGAACACTGACCAGTATTGGTTCTCATGATTCAAGAAAGAACTTCATTAGTTCTCATGAGTCAAGAATGAGCTTTATTAGTTCTCATGAGTTAAGAATGACCTTCATTGGTTCTCATGAGTCAAGAATGACCTTCATTGGTTCTCATGAGTCAAGAATGACCTTCATTGGTTCTCATGAGTCAAGAATGACCTTCATTGGTTCTCATGAGTCAAGAATGACCTTCATTGGTTCTCATGAGTCAAGAATGACCTTCATTGGTTCTCATGAGTCAAGAATGACCTTCATTGGTTCTCATGAGTCAAGAATGAACTTCATTGGTTCTCATGAGTCAAGAATGACCTTCATTGGTTCTCATGAGTCAAGAATGAACTTCATTGGTTCTCATGAGTCAAGAATGAGCTTTATTAGTTCTCATGAGTTAACACTGACCTTCATTAGTTCTTATGAGTGCAGAATAAACTTCATTAGTTCTCATGAGTCAAGAATGACCTTCATTAGTTCTTATGAGTGCAGAATAAACTTCATTAGTTCTCATGAGTCAACACTGATCTTCATTGGTTCTCATGAGTCAAGAATAAACTTCATTGGTTCTCATGAGTCAAGAATGAACTTCATTGGTTCTCATGAGTCAAGAATGAGCTTTATTAGTTCTCATGAGTTAACCCTGACCTTCATTAGTTCTTATGAGTGCAGAATAAACTTCATTAGTTCTCATGAGTCAACACTGACCTTCATTGGTTCTCATGAGTCAAGAATAAACTTCATTGGTTCTCATGAGTCAAGAATGAACTTCATTGGTTCTCATGAGTCAAGAATGAGCTTTATTAGTTCTCATGAGTTAACCCTGACCTTCATTAGTTCTTATGAGTGCAGAATAAACTTCATTAGTTCTCATGAGTCAAGAATGACCTTCATTAGTTATTATGAGTTCAGAATAAACTTAATTAGTTCTCATGAGTCAACACTGACCTTCATTGGTTCTCATGAGTCAAGAATAAACTTCATCAGTTCTCATGAGTCAAGAATAAACTTAATTAGTTCTTGTGAGTCAAGAATGACCCTCATTGGTTCTCATTAATTTTATTAGTAGCATGAATGGTTAAAATCTAACATGTTTGGAGCAACACAAGGGAGAGTAAACACTGACTGAATCTTCATTTTAGACTGAACTGAGGCTCTTTGTCAATGTAAATCACCTGCTCACAATCAGCTGTAGGACGGTTTGTGATGTGTGCTATGGAGTGTGTGAGTGTGTGTGTATGTGTGTGTCCTGTCAGCACTCAGACACAATGAATGCTCAACAGTGAGGTGACAGCAGGTGTAGGAGCATCAGACACGCTCCAACAACCAAATATAGACCAGAGACTGTGCTCCGACCCAGAACATCAACACACACCAGCATTCTCAACCAGGAGTGTGTCATACAGACACACACACACGCACAAACACACACTATTCCTGTATTTATTAGCGATTGTATAGGCTGCAGTAGTTTCTCTATTGACTCATTATTTATTAACTGTTTAGTTTTTTAATTATTATTATTCATATTAAATTATAATATTGACTTAAAGCAATGAGAGTTCTCTCTAATATGCTGCAGGTTATTCAGGCAGATATTAGACTCACCTGTGTGTCACTCAGTCCGTGTTTATGATCATCTGCCCTCCACTGACGCTCACACACCTGAGAAACAGACAGAGAGAGAGAGACACTATCAGTCAATATCAGACTAACACAAGCAACGCATGCAGTCCCATATACTGAAAAACCAGCACACAGTCCACTAGTCTGTTGTTCATGGGCAAATATTACAAGCACGCTGTTTAAAGGTTCACGAAACCCTCGAGTACTTTTTTTGAGATGTTAACAGATGTGTGTGTGTTGAGCATCAGTTAAGACAATGTCAGCACCTGTCAGCTGTAATTGTGGAGTAAACTGGATAATGTTTTGTCAGCTAATTTCAGCTTCTGGTTTTAAAATGATTTTGGGGGCGGGATCAAAATCAGTGATGTAGCGCAGAACTGCAAGTGCAAAGATGACGCACTCATTATTATTCATAGCGGAGTTTTCTTATCCTATGAGAAGAGCCGGCTGCTTAATTATTCATGACTGCACGTGCTTTCCAAAGGCAAAGCAGACCTGTTAGTGCCAAGCTGTGAGACATGTCACGGACCCGCGGCACACAGTATTTAGCCGTTCATGAAGGGTCCTATGTGTTTGTTTCCATGACCCACGGGGTTTGTTGCATGTGTTTCCCCAAGATGCTGTCAGCGCCGATCATACAGCAAAAGTGTGTGTGTGCTGCAAGCATTTTTGTCAGGAGAGCAGTACGAGAGTTGGAGAATGGCGGACGTTGTCTGTTATCAGGAGTTCGTTCACATTTAGACACATCACCGTGCTGCTGTGTTCACCTAAATCCTCCAGATTACCAGCAGCAGGGCTGACGGTTAAAATAGACAGGGCAAGAGACCAGCAGCACTGAGTCTGCATTCAGACCCGGGGATTGAGGGAGAAGTCCTCATTTATAGTGTCTATATGAACACAATTATCTTTATAATGATATAAATTGTGGTTATCTGTGTATGAATTTACGAATAACAAATGTAGCAGGGCATTAGTTTATTTCTTTGCATTTTAACTTTGTAAACTATAAACTCATGCGTCTCCTCACGGTTTGTGCCTCATTTTGTGAACCAACTGACAACAGTTGCTCGCTCCCCTCCTTCTCCCCAGCTGGCCACACCCACACCTGCCCTTTGCTCGTGGAGCTCCACGCCCACTATCATGCATCTTTTGAAAAAATTCGGAGGTAGACCTGAACCTGAATGATTTCTGTTCTCTTTGCCATGATGACAATAAATAATATTAGACTAGATATTCTTCAAGACACTAGTGTTCAGCTTAAAGTGACATGTAAAGGCTTCACTAGGGTAATTAGGGTAAAGTTATGGTAATTAGGCAAGTCATTGTATAACAGTGGTTTGTTCTGGAGACAATCCAACACTAATATTGCTGAAGAGAGTGAATAATATTGACTTTAAAATGGCTTTAAAACAATTAAAAACTGCTTTTATTCTATTATTCCTGCATCTGTGCAACATTATTTGTTAAATAATTGACAAAGATTAAATATTGCACATGAAGGCGAATAATTCTGACTTCAGCTGTATATTACACATTACTGGACACCGGTGAAGCAAGAAACAGATTTGCCGACATGATGAACGAGTGTTTTCAGGATGGAGAGCATGTTTTCATGATCTGATCGATCTGTGTGTGCGTGTGTTTCTCTTCTGCTAATGTATCTCCATAACCTCTGCAGTCGATAAACGCTGGAAGCGCTGAAATCCATCTCTGAAACCTCACTCTGCTGACTTACAGTAAAGCTCAGGGAATATTCCTGCCCGTCTGAGACAAAGCACACTCAAACACTTGTGCTTATAAGTGCAGTTGAAGTCAAAACTATGTATTTTTTCTTTGTCAATATTTCCCAAATGATGTTTAAAGGTGCTGCGTGTGTGTGTGTGTGTGTGTGTGTGTTTGACTCGTCTGCAGTATAAAAACACAATAATATGTGTGGAGATATTTCAGAGGCATGCTCAGTGAACATTCCTGTTTATCTGAAAAACAATGCTGAAGTCAGGTATTCTGAGGGGCAGTTCAGTGTGTGTGATGTCAGGCTGTCAGTGTGAGTGTGTGTGAAATATCTTGTGTGTGTGTGTGTGTGAGTGTCATCACAGCGCTTTATCTGAAGGTTTGCTTTTGTCTGGGATGGTCTCTGCGCTATTCATCAGAGGATCCAGTTT